GGAAAGAGGGAGCAGCAATCAGATCCATTGGCAAGATTTACATACAGCAAAATTCACCCTTTTTAGATATACAATTCTATGCATTTTGACCAATGCATTGTTATGTAACCACCAGCACAATCAAGACAGGGAAATCCCCACTACCCCACAAACATCAAGGACATCAAGCCAGATTTCCCTCCCACCTTTGCAGTTATGCAGACTGAAGCTTTTCAATTTTTGACTTAGCTTGTAATGGAATTAAATTTATTGTACTGTATTGTGCAAAAACACACGTCTTTTTTGCAAATCTCATGAAATACCTGTGTCTCCAAAAAAAAAATGATCAGAACCTTAATAAAGCTGGGAAGAAAATGATCAGTATGCTAAGGATAGTGCTTTCTGCATGTGATTTTTCTCTCCATTTCCTGACATCATGCATGCAGCCTGTGCAACTCAGGCTGGGGGAGTGACAGCAGGAAAGTACAAATATGGGGACCCTTAAAACCTTAACAAAATGTTTTCCTGGAGAGTAGCAGTTCTCAAAGTGTGGTCCACAGTCCCTGAGGGTCCCTAGGCGAGGTCAAAACCATTTTCATTATAATACTAGGTTTTATCTGCCTTTTCCACCAAGCTGTGGTTTGTACTGATGGTTGGTAGAGCTACTGAAAGCTCAAACGGGCCCAAGATGAGCAGGGCACCAAAATCCGGTAGCTGCCACGGTGCCCTTAGCCACTGTGCACTTGCAGCAAAAACGTGAATTTCACTTCAGAAGGTCTTTGATGCAGGAAAATGATAATTCCACCTCATCTTGACCCTTGCGTGCGCCTGTCTTTGTATCCTGTGTGACACACACGCAGCCCTCCTGCCGACGCTGAAGGACTTCAGTCTCTCAAGCAGGAAGCGCTTGTGCGGTCGTATGAGCCGTGAGCTCAACCAGCTGCTGTTTTCACAAAATACATTTTTACTTGAAATACTATAATTATTCAAACGTGGGTATCTGGCAGGCATTTTCTCAGAAAGAACAAAGTAAGCCTGTCAATTCAGGGAAAATAAGTGATAGTACTTGTTGCTGATACGAAAATCCAAGTTTTACAAGTGAAGATTAGAATTTGAAAACTTGTATCCACCCTTGTGAACCTGACAGATTCCCAACAGCTAAAGACTTTTCTCATCAGAATGATGACAATATTAACAAAGGTGCTTTCTTTGATATTATATAATTAAATGTTTCAACATTTGGAAGATGTGTATCACTCAGTAGATCAATATTTTCCAAGTGACCAATGCAAGATGTTACAAAATCACACGTGGGTCAAGGAGCCATTCTAAGTGCAAGACAGACCAAAAGATTTCACTGTAACAGAGTGAGAAAAGTTCATCTATATGCTTTCAGATTCCACGTTGTAACCAACCTTTAAAGAAACTACCATTAGTCAATTTGGGGATGTGGTTAAAGAATATCCACAATTCTCTGGAAGGGCTATTAAAATACTCCTCCTGTTTCCCACTACATGTCTGTGTGAGGCCAGATTTTCTTTACATACTCTAACCAAAACAATGTATTGTGACAGACTAAATGCAGAATCCAGCTGTCTTCTATTAAGGCAGACTTTAATTAAAGAGATTTGCAAAAATGTAAACCCATGCTACTCTTGCAAACAGCAGTAGAAGTTTTGTTTTGCTTTGTTTTGTTTTTTTCAGCTGTGCCGTACGGCTTGTGGGATCTTAGTTCCCCAAACAGGGACTGAACCCAGGCCCTCGGTAGTAAGAGTGTGGAGTCCTAACCACTGGACCACCAGGGATTTCTCAGCAGTAGTTTTGAAAATAGTTATTTTCACACAAGTATATTATTTATGTTAACATATAATGAGTTCATTATTTCAAAATAAAATTAATAAAATATTTTTAGTTTCTCAGTTTTAATTTCTACCATAGTACACTCAGTAGATAGAAAACCCATACAAACAAAACCTCTTTGGAATCCTCTTTTTAAGACTGTAAAGTGTAAAGGGGTCTTGGGACCAAAATGTTTGAGAACTACTGCTAGAGAATATTCGTAGAAGACAGGTCAGTCTTGGATAAGAGGGACTAAAAGTCAGTTAGTAATTGCTGAATTCCTAGACGCACTAGGAATGATGGCTACAAATAAGAAAACGAAAGGACTGTGCCACCAAGGGGTTCGTTCTAATTGAGCAGAGGTATGACAAAACAAAGCACAGGAAGGCATAAAGCCACATGCGCGATGGGAGCACACCCTAGGTTTGAAGTAGAGATCAACCAGGCATCAGCTCATGACTGGATCCCTTGGAGTCTGGGTTTCTTATCTACTGACTGAAGATAAGCACACACAGCTTAGGCTTAAATAAAGCCTCTGTCGTGAGGCTTAAATAAAATGACAAATACGAGGGTGGGGCTAGGTTCCCTGCTGCCACCAACCCTCCTCCTTTCCCACCACTCTATCCCACACAACCAGAGCTTGGCTGGGGGTGAGCTCACCACCCACTGGAAGCATTGACCTCTGTCCACAGTGTGGACAAAGAATGCTTCCCACCACACAGATGAACAAAGGATGTTGCAGCTATCAGCCACTGCAGCCTCCCCCAACAGTGCAGCTGAAGGGGTTCAAGACGGAAAAGAACAGGATACTTATTGGCCCTAGACAGTTAAGGTGTATATCAAAGGAATGATTTCAATGAGCCCAGACTCTGGTATCTTCCCATACATAGAAAAGTGCTAAAGTCATTAACTTGAGATGTTTGTTTTTTCTTCAATTAGCAGAAATCTTGATGTTCAACTACCTGGTTTGTGCAAAACTCCTATATATCCTGGCTCTTCCCTCATCTCTTTGGAGCAGTCCCTCAGAGTCATGTGAGAGACTGTCTAACGGGCTTAAGTCCTCAGTAAGTCCGCTGAATAAAAATTCTTTTAGGTTGTGCTTTTTTTTTTTTTCAGTCGACAACAGTCATGACTGTGAAACGCTTCACATCCTCCTACAAACTCTCCAAGGAAATACGTTCGATAGTGGCTACTTTTCTAATTGGTAATGATAGAAAACAGAATAAAAAAAGTGTATGTTCCAGAAGAAACAAAGGCCAATTCTTTAGATACAGAAGTGGAAGCTTATAAACTATTAGAAAAGCCCTTGAAATAAAATGTTACAAACAACAGTTGAGATTAGAAAGGGACAATGGGGAGTTCCTGGTGCCCTAGAAGTTAGGATTCCACACTTTCACTGCTGTGGCCTGGGTTCAATCCCTGGTTGGGGAACTGAGATCCCACAAGCCAACCGGCACGGCAGACAAAAAAAAAAAAAAAAAAAAAAAAAAAAAAAAAAAAAAAAGGAAAAAAAAAAAAAAAAAAAAAACAACACACTCCTGACGTGAGATTTTTAAATTTGTGATGTAGACTTTTATACTAAAATCAGAGTAGATAAAAAGTCTACTTATGAGTTCTGTTTATCTTGTTTGTAATAAAAGTGTTTAAAGCTTCCCATTGAATTATTCAAGACATCTTTTCCTAAATGGAAAAAAAAAAAAAAAAAAAGGGACAATAATCAAGAATTCAAGTTGACCAACTTCTCCAAATGTAAGACAACCAATATTTCTGAAAATAATTTTACCTGATCTAGATCCAGAGAAGAATAGACAATTTTCCCTTTGTCATCTCCAGAGAACAATTTCATTCCATTGGGGCTCCAAGCCAGAGCTGTTATGCTATTCTTGTGAATACCAGTGACGTCAAATCTCCGAAGCTATGAATAAACAATGAAAATACACACAAGAAAAAGACAAGGATAAACACTGTGAGATGTGAACAAGGTGGTACACAATCCCTCCTGTTTATGGAAAAGCTGGTGTTCCCAAGTTGTTTCCATGCAAAAACCTGCACAAGGGTCCATCTGTCTATTTACCTTTAAAACTGACAGAGAAGAGCCAGAGAATATTAAGCAAAATTACCCATATATGCTTTTTGCCAAGTGTCCTACCAGGAACAAAAATGTCATCTGATTATAAAGAGCACAGAGTGAGGCTTTTCTGAGCAAGTATCTTCTTGGCAGATGAGGACTCCTCATTTTAAAAGACATGAGGAATTTGCCAAGAAGTTAAGAAATGCTAAAATGATTAGTACTTACCTGTCTATTTCTTCCTGGCAACGAGGATACAAGTTGAAAGACTGCAACCCTCCCAGAGGCTGTGCCTGCAGCCACCAGGTCATCAAAGCAGCTCAGCAGTTTCACCACCGTGATGGATTCTGTTCTCCCCTGAAAGAGGAAACATTCAAAAACAAATGGGCCATAATTCAAAGAGTCATGTACCACAATGTTCATTGCAGCACTATTTATAATAGCCAGGATGTGGAAGCAACCTAAATGTCCATCAATAGATGAATGGATAAAGAAGACGTGGAACGGGCTTCCCTGGTGGAGCAGTGGTTAAGAATCCGCCTGCCAGTGCAGGGGACACGGGTTCAACCTCTGGTTCGGGAAGATCCCACATGCCACAGAGCAACTAAGCCCATCTGCCACAACTACTGAGCCTGCGCTCTAGAGCTTGCGAGCCACAACTACTGAGCCCATATGCCACAACTACTGAAGCCCATGTGCCTAGAGCCCATGTTCCACAACAAGAGAAGCCACCACAATGAGAAGCCCGTGCACCGCAATGAAGAGCAACCCTTGCTTGCCACAACTAGAGAAAGCCAGAGCACAGCAAAGACCCAATGCAGCCAAAAATAAATAAATAAATTTTAAAAAAAGAAGATGCAAATAAGATGTGGCATGTATATACAATGGAATATTACTCAGCCATAAAAATAAACGAAATTGAGTTATCTGTAGTGAGGCAGATGAACCTAGAGTCTGTCATGCAGAGTGAAGTAAGTTAGAAAGAGAAAAACAAATACCATATGCTAACACATATGTATGGAATCTAAAAAAAAAAAAAAAAGTTCTGAAGAACCTAGGGGCAGGACAGGAATAAAGATGCAGATGTAGAGAATGGACTTGAGGACACGGGGAGGGGGAAGGGTAAGCTGGGACCAAGTGAGAGAGTGGCATGGACATATAAACACTACCAAATGTAAAATAGATAGCTAGTGGGAAGCAGCCGCATAGCACAGGGAGATCAGCTCGGTGCCTTGTGTTCCCCTAGAGGGGTGGGATAGGGAGGGTGGGAGGGAGATGCAAGAGGGAGGGGATATGGGGATATATGTGTACACATAGCTGATTCACTTTGTTATACAGCAGAAACTAACACAACATTGTAAAGCAATTATACTCCAATAAAGACTTAAAAAAAACAAACAAAAAAACAAAACAAATGGACCTGTCACCTGGCCAGCTTTCAGACTATGAAACGTTACCTACCAATGGAATGGAAAACCTCATTGGACTGAAGCCTATATATATTCCTGATTGAAAATGTATACAATTCAGAAAGATAATTAATCTCTTTTTCTTTCTAGGTTTTTTATCTTTGAAATGACAATTGTTTTTTTGGGGTTTTTTTTTCTGGCTGTGCCACACAGCATGTGGGATCTTAGTTCCCCGACCAGGATTTGAACCTGTATCCCCTGCACTGGAAGTGCAGAGTCTTAACCACTGGACCACCAAAGAAGTCCCTGAAATGACAAAATTTTAAAACTGCATTTCTGAGAAAGGAAATACTGTTCAATCAAGTATGAATACACTGAGCTCTTATCAAGAGAGTACTAAGGAACTTGGATAGGAGAGGTAGTTCCCCTCAAAACCAGAGTCTGCAGTCAGAAGAGCTATCCCAGACGCAAGCTCTCCTTTCTTCTCTCTCAACGTGCACAAGTCATCCACCGACTGTAGTCCATGGTGTGTACCTGCCACACAGGCTTGCTTGAGGATCAATGAGACAATACATTTGAGAGTGCTTTATAAACTGATTCCTGGCGTGTTTTGGTTCTCATATCAATAATCACATTAAATAACACTAACTCAAGCTTAATACATTGGTTTATTAAAAAGCACATGTCAAGCACTGAATACAGATATTCGGGCTTCCAGAGCATCTGAATGATCATTTTTCATTTTGAAACCACTCATTCAGAAAAATTACACAACCATTTCGACCTCGCTAAGACATATGGCAAGATCTTCAATAAGCCATTTTGATCCCTGATGCAGTAATTTAGATGGTAATCAATCTGTCAAATATGCACGCACCCCCTCTGCATTCAGGGTACTGAGTCAGCTGCTATGGTAATACACAGTAGGGCGCAGGCCCGCCCTGTCACAGCTGAGCTGTAGCAATGAGACGTGCACATGAAGAGCTGCCCTCCACGAGTGGGGGTGGCAGCGACTGAGCTCACTTTCATCTGCCACTTTACAGCTTGCAGCGTATGTTCATGGGCTATAAATACACTTGGTGCCACGTCGTGATACAGGGTAAGGGACCTGGATCTTAAGCTACAGGAAGGAAAAGCGGGACCCTTGAAGATGCCTGCTTTTGCAGAGGTGTTTCTGGTAGCCCCATTAGGAACCGGATGGAAGGAGGAAGGTGTGGGACCAGGCAGGAGGACCAGCGGGGAGCCTCCTGCGACAGTTCAGGTGGAGGGAGTATAATGCGCCCGGTCAAGGGAAGTAGCAAACTGAACAGGTGCAAGGGCGGTAAACCCCGACGAGTAAGGCAGAGTATGAAGACCCGGTCAGAAGGAGGGCAGCACTGATGAACAGAGCACATCGACTCTCTCTGTAAGGGACGCTCTCTCAGTCGCGCGTGTCCTGTGCTGGTCACCCTGTTCAGCGCTTCACAGGAATCATCTCCTGGGGTCCTCAAACCACCAAGAGGGCAGGTGCTGGAGTTATCCTCATTTTACAAAGGTGAAGTGATTTGCCTCAGGTCACAAAGCTAGAGAGAATCAATAGTCAGGACTCACACCCAAGTGTGACCCTACAGAGGCCCTGCTCTGCCTCACTGCCCTATGCCTTCTGAGCAGATCCATGGCCCTGGAGATGGAAGGTGTGGTCGGCTGTGGGAAAGAAGGAGAATGAAAGGACTGCGGGAATGTGAGTGATGGTTCCATCTCTGCTTTGAGGGAAGAAAGTAACATAACATGCTTTAGATGTGTATCGTCTGACATGGCAACAGAATGTTAAAAAGAGAATATTTTTCCTGGGAATTTGTAATTATAAAAACTGCTACTACAACAGGAATCAAAATCACTTATTGGAGATCCTGCCACATCGTAGCACAAAATCAAAACAGTTGTGTAATTTTCCTGAATGAATGGTTTCAAAATCACTGCTCAGATGGGCTGGAAGCCTGAGTATCTATATGCAATGCTTGTACACGTGCTTTTAATAAACCAATGTACTAAACTTGACTTAAGGTTATTTAATATGATTATTAAATAGATTTGGTTCTTGACTTAAGAACCAAAACATCCGAAGAATCAGATTATCAATATCTAACTATACTTCAGACAGAAACAAAATATGAAGTTTCAACTCCTCACAGTATAACACTCCAGCTATTCTGAGAAACATTCATCTCCAAACACCTAGGAATGTTGAATAAGATACATAAAACATTCTTTCAAACGCACAGCTGATCTCTAGAAAAGTAAAGAAAATCTACAAGAGCCGAAAACAAAAAGAATACCGTCAAACTAGAACAGAAGCCAGCCCTGAAGCTACAGGCTACATAGGGCAATCTGGCCAACGCCTACACCCTTGATTTTCTGAGGTGAGCATGGTTAATGAGCACAAGGCTTCAGGCCAGGTGACGTGGGGAGCTGGAACTGAAGTCCCCTGCTAAAGCCAGAATCCCTGAAGACCTAACTCTCAGTGAAAGTGTAAACTAGGGAAAAATCAATTTGCTGGGAAATGAAGCTGATAAGGACCTTTGTCTTATCTGAGGCATTGACTGGAGTGAATAAAAAAGATTCTGTAATCACAAAGCTGCTGTATCCAGCACCAGAGTTTGAATTTATTCTCCCTTCCCACTGAAAAGAACCTTCATGCCAGGCACTTCACCTGACATGCTTCCGTGTCTGTAGCACTCCAAGGCGGCTGGCAGAGTGACCATCAACCCCATCTGTGGAACACAGTCTCAACCCAGGCCCCTCAGCACTCCCACATATTAGGATCAGCCACATACCTCACAATTAGACATGACCACAGGGAAATAGGTCCCCTCAAGAAGAATCAACTAAAGAAAGCAATAACAGAATTGGACAACTCCTCATCCTGACTCAAGCATTTCATTAGAGTGAGGAGACCCAGAACATAAAAGAAATATGCTTAAGGGGAGGGAAAGATTAGGAATTGGGGATTAAAAGATACACACTACTGTACATAAAATAAACAACAAAGATCTACTGTATAGCACAGGGAACTATATTCAATATTGTAATAACCCATGATGGAAAAGAATCTGAAAAAGAATATATAACTGAATCACTTTGCTATACACCTGAAACATTATAAATCAACTATGCTTCAGTAATAAAAAAGAAATATGCTTAAAAATGTTAAAGAAATGTAAAAAGAAATTGAAACATAAGACCAAACTATTATCAGAAATAATAGAAATGAAAAAGAATCAAAAGAATGTAAAATCTCAGGGGTAGACTAAATAGCAGCCTAGTTACAGATGAAAGAAAATTACTGAACTAGGTGACAGATCTGTGCGGCAAAGGAAAGATAAAAAATATGACAGATGGGTTTCCCTGGTGGCGCAGTGGTTGAGAATCTGTCTGCTAATGCAGGGGACACAGGTTTGAGCCCCGGTCTGGGAAGATCCCATATGCCGCGGAGCAACTAGGCCCGTGAGCCACAACTACTGAGCCTGTGCGTCTGAGCCTGTGCTCTGCAACAAGAGAGGCTGCCACAGTGACAGGCCCGTGCACCGCAATGAAGAGTGGCCCCCGTTTGCCACAACTAGAGAAAGCCCTATCACAGAAACAAAGACCCAACACAGCAAAAATTAATTAATTAATAAACTCCTACCCCCAACATGTAAAAAAAATAAAATAAAATAAAAATTAAAAAAAAATTAAAAATAGAGGTGGAGTCTCTTTCCAAAAAAAAAAAAAAAAGAAATTGTAAATGACTTCCACCCCTATTCTAAAAAAAAAAAAAAAAAAAAAATGACAGATAAGTTAAGAGTCATAGAGAATAGAATATGAAGGTCCAACCTACATCTAATTGGGATTCCAGAAGGAAAGAAAACAGAGGATAAGAGAAGGAAACATCTTCAGAGATAAGGGCTAAAAATTATCCAAAACTGATGAAAGACCTATATCCTCAGAAGCACAAGCCTTGAACAAGACTCATGAAGAGAAATACACACACACATCTTGTAGTGAAACAGTAAAACCTCAAAGGCAATGAGAAGATATTAATATGTCAGAGAAAAAAGGGAAATAACTAAATATGAACAATTATTAACAAAAGACATCTCAACAATGGATGTTGAGATGTATCATCCTCAAAGCGCTAAGAGGAAAAAACTGTTAGCCTTGAATAGTATACCTCTAAACAATTCAAAGATGGAGAGACATTCAGACAAAGAAAAAAATCAAGAGTACTTACCACTAAAAGACTTCAACACAAGAACTACTAAAGGATGTACTCCAGGGCTTCCCTGGTGGCGCAGTGGTTAAGAATCCGCCTGCCAATGCAGGGGACACGGGTTCAAGCCCTGGTCCAGGAAGATCCCACATGCAGTGGAAGAGCTAATCCCGTGCGCCACAACTACTGAGCCTGCGCTCTAGAGCCCATGAGCCACAACTACTGAAGCCTGCGCACCTAGAGCCCGTGCTCCACAACAAGAGAAGCCACCACAATGAGAAACCTGCACACCGCAATGAAGAGTAGCCCCCGCTCACCGCAACTAGAGAAAGCCCACGCGCAGCAACGAAGACCCAATGCAGCCAAAAATTTTTTTTTTAAAAAAGATGTACTCCAGCAAGAAGGAGAATGGCTGCAAAGGGAAGAACTAAGATATAACAAGAGATGGTGAGTAAAGACATTGGCAAAACTGTGAGGGAATCTAAACAGTGACTATAAAATATAATAATAATAATGTTCAACTTGAGTCGTTAAATATAGAATGAAAACACTAGATAGTTATGTGTATAATAAGAAAGGCCAGACAGAAACATCATAAGAAAGCTACAGACCAATATTCCTCCATGAATACAGACACAAAAAATTTGAACAAAATATTACTAAAAGGAATACAGCAAGATTTAAAAAAAAAAAAAGGATAATATGGAATTCCCTGGTGGTCCAGTGGTTAGGACTTGGTGCTTTCACTGCCAGGGCCTGGGTTCAATCCCTGTTCAGGGAACTAAGATCCCACAAGCCGTGCCATGAGGCCAAAAAAAAAAAGGATAATATATCATGACAAAATGGGGTTTAAAAGATTAATGCACGGTTGGAATAATAACCAAAACTCAATTCATGTAATATAACACATAAAGAAGGAAATGATATCATCACAACAGATTCAAGTGAATATCTGACAAACTTCAATACTCATTCATGATAAAAACTCTCAGAAAACTAGGATAGAAATAAACAGAAATAAAAAGCGTCCGTGAGGAATCTATAGCTAATGTAATGGTGAAGACCAAGGCTAAGGCAAAGATATCTATTCTCACTGCAAACACCATACTGGGGTCTTGGCCAGCACAGTAAGTCAAGTAAAAAATTAAAGGCATAGAGACTGGAAAAGATGAGGTAAAACTCTTTCTTCAGAGGTAAGCAGGATCATCTACGTAGAAAACCCAGGCTTCCCTGGTGGCCCAGGGGTTAAGGATCCGCCTGCCAATGCAGGAGACATGGGTTCATGCCCTGGTCTGGGAAGATCCCACATGCCACGGAGCAACTAGGCCCACGTGCCACAACTACTGAGTCTGTGCTCTACAGCCCACAAGCCACAACTACTGTAGCCTATGCACCTAGAGCCCATGCTCCACAACAAGAGAAGCCACGGCGATGAGAAGCCCACACACCACAACAAAGAGTAGCCCCGCTCACTGCAACTAGAGAAAGCCTGCGCACAGCAATGAAGACCCAACACAACCATAAATAAATAAATAAATAAAATTATACATATACTAAAAAAAAAGAATGCAGAAACCTTACTACCATGTAGGTCCCTTACTCTCCCCTCTTACGTTATAGTTATCTTATATATTACTACATGTATACACACTGAAAACTCGATCAGTGTTACAATTTTTGCTGTCAAGTATATTTTAAAGAACTCAAGAGGAGAGAAACAGTCTACTGTATTTACTATTATTCTTCCTTCATTACTGATGTTCCAAGTTTCCTTCTGGTATCGTTTCTCATTTGCCTAAAGAACTTCCTGAAACAATTATTTAGAGCAGGTCTGCTGGCAATGAATCCCCCTAGTTTTCCTTCATCTGAGAATATTTTTATTTCACCTTCTTTCCTAATAGATATTTTTCTTGGGTAAAAATTCTGAGCTGGGGCTTCCCTGGTGGCGCAGTGCTTGAGAGTCCGCCTGCCGATGCAGGAGACGCGGGTTCGTGCCCCGTTTCGGGAAGATCCCACATGCCGCGGAGCGGCTGGGCCCGTGAGCCATGGCCACTGAGCCTGCGCATCCGGAGCCTGTGCTCCGCAAATGGGAGAGGCCACAACAGTGAGAGGCCCGCATAACGCAAGGAAAAAAAAAAAAAAAAAAAAAAAAATTCTGAGCTGACCATTCTTTTCTTTCAACACTTTATAAATGTTGTACCACTGTCTTCTAGCCTCTATAGTTCCTGATGAGAAATCTGCAGGCATTCAAAGCATTGTCCCTTACAGGTAATGTGTCATTCTCTGGCTACTTTTAAGATTTCTCTTTGTCTTTAGTTTTTAGAAGTCTGATTAGGATATGTCTGGGCATGGGTTTCTTTGGTCCATCCTGTTAGGGGTTCACTGCTGGATTCATAAGTCTTTTTTGTTAAGTGCTGAAGTATTTGAGAGACCTGATACATTAATCCATAACCATAGTTTTAACGATTAACTATGTAACGGTTTTAAATGTGCAGGGAATTTGAGCAGTCAAATCCATGAGCTATTAAATAAAGAAAAGAAATAGCAATAGTTTTCATTTTCACACAAAAAATACAAATGTAAACTCTAGAGCCAATCTGCCCAAGTTCAGACAATGGTGCCACCACTTCCTAACCACCTCACAAGTCACTCAATCTCTCTGTACCTCAGTTGTCTCCCTGGTAAAATGGGGATGAGAAAACATCATCTACCTCACAGAGTCTTGTGAGGATGAAATGTGTTAATATATGTAAAGGTTTACAATAATGCCTGGCACATAGTAAGTGCTATATACATGCTAACCATTTGTGTTATTTTAAATTGAGTATAGAGGCTTAACAAAAACTAACTTTTTAAGTTAAACTTTAATTTAAGTTGAATACTGATTAAAATATAGATATTTGTAAATATTTCTCTTAAACACAAAAGCCTTGTCTTAGACTGTAAAAGTCTACTAACCACAGGCAGAGTAGAACCCCATGAGGCTGTGAGGCAGGAGCCACAACTCAGTCACCCTTGAGTCTCTCACAAAACCTGAGCACTCATAAATTACAGATATCAACTCAGCGGGTGAATTCAGTCCACCTCCCCAATAACTACAATACACAGAGATGCCTGAGTCAACCAACACAGAACAGAGGTCGGGCAGGACCCCAGTGGCAGTGTTCTACAGAAGTGACCTCAGTTAAGATGTACGTGTTCTGGCAGCTAGCCAACATTGATCCTGATCCTTTTTTCACAATAATTTCACCAGAATAGCTAGTGATTATTTGAGTAAGTCAGGTAAGGTATTTTGAGAAACAAAACACTTAGAAAACACTTAGAGGGACTTCCCTGGTGGTCCAGTGGCTAAGAGTCCACGCTCCCACTGTAGGGGGACCAGGTTCGATCCCTGGTCAATGAACTAAGATCCTGCATGGTGCAGCCAAAATAAACAAAACAAAACAAAAAAAAGAAAACACTTAGAAAAACATGCCTACTTTCAAAGTTTTCTATTAAGTGTTAAACACTATAATGCTCTCTTTTAAAGTAACTCTGGATTTTTGGAGGCAGGAAAAAAAGTTAAAACATCAACATTTTTAGCTGTACTCCACCTCAATTAAAAATGGTCGGGGCTTCCCTGGTGGCGCAGTGGTTGAGAGTCCGCCTGCCGATGCAGGGGACACAGGTTCGTGCCCCAGTCCGGGAAGATCCCACATGCCGCGGAGCGGCTGGGCCCGTGAGCCATGGCCGCTGAGCCTGCGCGTCCGGAGCCTGTGCTCCGCAACGGGAGAGGCCACAGCAGTGAGAGGCCCACGTACAGCAAAAAAAAAGGGAAAAAAAAAAAAAGGTCATGAAGTATTGTTTGGCAAAAGGGCACTCAGACCATATTCTAGCAAGTCAGAAGTAAATTACCCCGTCCTGGAACTCACAAGCATGTTAAACATTAGCCAGGGCTCACACATGCTCAGGTGAGGACAAGCAAGACTCACCTCAAAGTTGTACTTCTTCATGTGGCTCGAGCGCCGGCAGTACAGGTAGAGCATGCCAATGCTACTGCCCACGGCAAGGTAGTCCCCGTTGGCGTCCAGGGCTGTGAGGTACACCACTATGGAGCGGAACCCCTTCTGGATCTTTGTGGGAATGGCATTGAGGAGATAGTACAAAGGGCAGAACTCTCTGAATGTAAGAGACTCTGATACGGATGCCATGGCCAACGTTTCCACAGATGATCTTCAAGCAGGACAGGAATTTTAACTGGCACCTACGGAAACCTGGGGGCTGAAGAACAAGGCATTATAATGCTTTCAACATCTAGTCATGCAAAGAGAAGTCAGGTATAACAGTGGGAACGAGGAACTTTCAGGTGTGTATGAATTATAGTCAGGGCTGAATTAAACAGAGAAAGTAACCAAGTGCCATTAAGATCACTTTTGAGCATTTTAATTCAAAACTCACTTCAATATGTGCTGGCCCCTGTAATTTATATTGTGATAAATGCTATGGAGGGGAAGGAGTGGAAAAAATATTAAAAACAGTTCTTAATCTCAAGTAGCTTATGATCTAGTTAGGGAGGCAAAAGAAACTGTGAAGAGACATAAAACCAGATGTGATTAGGTGCTAATCTGTGGGTCTCAATGAGAAGAGGGAGAGAGCAGTGTGGACTAGAGAGTGGAGAAAGCTTCACCGGAAACATCCAGAATTCTGAAGCCCACCAGGAAGGACAGAACGTGGAAAAGAGGAATTCCCTGGCAGTCTGCACTTCCACTGCAGGGTGCACGGATTTGATCCCTGGTCAGGGAACTAAAATCCCGCAAGCTGCATGGCCAAAAAAAAAAGTGTCTGGAAAAGAAACAGTAAAGACACTGTACTAGAAGAACAGTGGACCAATCCAGACGTAGGAATAAGCTCACTGTGTCAAGGTGGTGGAGAAACATGTCCCCCGGCTGGATAGCCACAGTCTCCACAGCACTCAGAACATCAGCTACACAACACCTCCTATCTGCTCTGCACTGACACCCACACCTCTTGAAAATTTGGATTCAAAGCTTCCCTCAATAAAGGGAAGCGTGTTATATATCATCACACAGCGTGTTATACTTTATGAAGTGTTCATTCACCCATTTAATCCTTACCCTACAAACTTTTACATGGTTTTGGAAGTCCCAGCCACGGCAATCAGAGAAGAAAAAGAAATAAAAGGAATACAAATTGGAAAAGAAGTAAAACTGTGACCGCCTGCAGATGACATGAGACTATACATAGAAAATCCTAAAGACGACACCAGAAAACTACTAGAACTAATCAATGAACTTGGTAAGGTTGCAGGATACAAAATTAATGCTCAGAAATCTCTTTCATTCCTATGCACTAACAATGAAAGATCAGAAAGAGAAATTGAGGGAAGAATCCCATTTACCATCGCAACAAAAAGAATAATATACCTGGGAATAAACCTACCTAAGGAGACAAAATACCTGTACTCAGAAAACTATAAAACACTGATGAAAGAAATCAAAGATGACTTAAACAGATAGAGAAATACACCACATTCTTGGATTGGAAGAATCAATATTGTGATAACAACTATACTACCCAAAGCAATCTACAGATTCAGTGCAATCCCTATCAAATTACCAATGGCATTCTTCACAGAATTAGAACAAAAAATTTTCCAATTTGTATGGAAACAAAAAAGACCCCAAATAGCAAAGCAATCTTGAGAAAGAAAAGCAGAGCTGGAGGAATCAGGCTCTCCAACTTCAAACTACACTACAAAGCTACAGTAATCAGGACAAGTATGGTACTGGCACAAAAACAGAAATATAGATCAATGGTACAGGATAGAAAGCCCAGAGATAAACCCATGCACATATGGTCACCTAATTTAGGACAAAGGAGGCAAGAACATACAGTGGAGAAAAGACAGCCTCTTCAGTACGTGGTGCTGGGAAAACTGCACAGCTACATGTAAAAGTATGAAATTAGAACACCACCTAACACCATACACAAAAATAAACTCCAAATGGATTAAAGACCTAAATTTAAGACCAGACACTATAAAACTCTTAGAGGAAAACATAGGAAAAACACACTTTGACATAAACCACAGCAAGATCTTTTTTGACCCACCTCCTAGAGTAAAGGAAATAAAAACAAAAATAAACAAATGAAATGGGACTTAATTAAATTTAAAAGCTTTTGCCCAGCAAAGAAAACCATAAACAAGACGAAAAGAAAACCCTCAGAATGGGAGAAAATATTTGCAAACAAAGGAACAAAGGATTAATCTCCAAAATAGACAAACAGCTCATGGAGCTCAGTATCAAAAAAAACAAACAACCCAATTGAAAAATGGGCAGAACTAAACAGACATCTCTCCAAGGAGGACATACAGATGGCCAAGGGGCACATGAAAGGATGCTCAATGTCACTAATTATTAGAGAAATGCAAATCAAAACTACAATGACGGGACTTCCCTGGTGGCACAGTGGCTAAGAATCCACCTGCCGATGCAGGGGACACAGGCTTGATCCCTGGTCCTGGAAGATCCCACATGCCACGGAGCAACTAAGCCCATGTGCTTAGTTGAGCACTGCACTCTAGAGCCCACGCGCCACAACTACTGAAGCCTGCACGCCCTAGAGCCCACACACTGCAACTACTGAGCCGGTGTGCCTTGAGCCCATGCTCCACAGCAAGAGAAACCACTGCAATGAGAAGCCCGCGCACCAAAACAAAGAGTAGCCCCTGCTCGGCAACTAGAGAAAGCCCGTTTGCAGCAACAAAGACCCAGCTCAGCCAAAAAAACCCCAAACAAACAAAAAACAACTACAATGAGGTATCACCTCATACCGGTCAGAATGGCCGTCATCAAAAAATCTACAGCTTCCCTGGTGGCGCAGTGGTTGAGAGTCCGCCTGCCGATGCAGGGGACGCGGGTTCGTGCCCCGGTCTGGGAAGATCCCACACGCCGCGGAGCGGCTGGGCCCGTGAGCCATGGCCGCTGAGCCTGCGCGTCCGGAGCCTGTGCTCCGCAACGGGAGAGGCAACAACAGTGAGAGGCCCATGTACTGCCAAACAAACAAACAAACAAACAAACAAAAAATCTACAGGGCTTCCCTAGTGGCACAGTGGTTAAGAGTCCGCCTGCCAATGCAGGGGGCACGGGTTCGATCCTTGGTCCAGGAAGATCTCACATGCTGCAGAGCAACTAAGTCCATGCGCCACAACTACTGAGCCTGCGCTCTAGAGCCTGCAAGCCACAACTACTGAAGCCCACGCACCTAGAGCCTGTGCTCCACAAGAGAAGCCACCACAACAAGCCCACGCACTGCAACAAACAGCAGCCCCGCTCGCCACAACCAGAGAAAGCCCGTGGGCAGCAGCAAAGACCCAACTCAGCCAAAAATAAATAAATAAAATAAATAAATTTATTTTTAAAGTCTACAAACAATAAATGCTGGAGAGGGTGTGAAGCAAAGGGAACCCTCTTGCACTGTTGGCGGGAATGTAAATTGATACAGCCACTGTGGAGAACAGTATGGAGATTCCCTAAAAAACTAGAAATAGAACTACCATATGACCCAGCAATCCCACTACTGAGCATATATCCTGAGAAAACCATAACTCAAAAGGACACACATACCCCAACTGGTTCATTGCAGCACTGTTTACAATAGCCAGGATATGGAAACAACCTAAATGTCCAAAGACAGATGAATGAATAAAGAAGATGTGGTACATACATACCCAGCCATAAAAAGGAATGAAGTTGGGTCATTTGTAGAGATGTGGATGGACCTAGAGTCTGTTATACAGAGTGAAGTAAGCCAGAAAGAGAAAAACAAATATTGTTTATTAACGCATATATGTGGAATCTAGAAAAATGGTACAGATGAACCTATTTGCAGGGCAGGAACAGAGACGTAGATGTAGAGAATGGACATGTGGACACAGGAGGGGAAGGGGTGGGTGGGACGAACTGGGAGATTAGAATTGACATAAATACACTAACAAGCATAAAACAGATAGCTAGTGGGAACTTGCTATAAAGCACAGGAAGCTCAGCTCGGTGCTCTGTGATGACCTAGATGGGTGGGTTGGGAGGGGGTGGGAGGGAGGTCCAAGAGGGATAGCACTTAGTTGTCTTTAACTTCATTCAAAACAATTTTGTTAGATTGTATGTGACAGCTGTCATATCAGCGTGCAGTTTAATAAAGACATCAAAATTGGTGAATTTTTTGCGTAGCCATTTTAGTATTGAAGATGGAAGAAAAAAAGGAACATTTTCAGCATATTATGCTTTATTATTTCAAGAAAGTTAAAAACTCAACTGAAACGCAAAAAAAGATTTGTGCAGCGTATGGAGAAGGTGCTGTGACTGATCGAACGTGTCAAAAGTGGTTTGCGAAGTTTCCTGCTGTAGATTTCTCACTTGACAATGCTCCACGGGTCGGGTAAACCAGTTGAAGTTGATAGCGATCAAATTGAGACATTAGTTGAGAACAATCAACATTACACCATGCGGAAGACAGCCGACATACTCAAAATACCCAAATCAAGTGCTGAAAATCATTTGCACCAGCTTGGTTATGTTCATCGTTTTTATGTTTGGGTTCCACATAAATTAAGTAAAAAAAACCTTCTAGACTCTATTTCCACAGGAGATTCTCAACTTAAACATAATGAAAACGTTCCGATTTTTTTTGTTTTTTTTTTTTTTTAAAGTTATCATCTTACATTAGAAGAAAAATACCCATTATAAGAAAAGCATTCCCATCACTATTTGAAATTCAGTCAGGAGTATTCACTGATACAGTTAGAAAACAATAAACAATTACAGGCTTTAGAATGGAAAAAGAAGTAAAACCGTATCTATCATTTGTAGATGATACGGCAGTATACCTGGAAATCCTAGAGAATAAAGAATAAAAGTAACATATTTGGAAAACAATCAGCAACGAGTCAGGATGCAAAGTGAGCATATAAGATTCAGTAGCCATCAGAGGGCGTCCGGGATTTGCGAGGTTGTAGTAGACTGGCGGTCACATGCTCCCACTGGACCAAGAAGGAAAAAACAGGCAGGTTGCAGGTGCCGTAAGTAAACGTACTGGGGAGCTGAGAGGGACGAGGACCAAGTGGACAGGCTTCCAGAGGTGGGGAAGTCCCCCGAGCTGAGCCGACGCTGCCAGCCTGCCCTGTCTTTTCTTCCTGGGGATCTGCCAACCACCAGCGGGACTGTATCCACAGCCCAGGGTGGAGGGGCGAGCACGCTCAG